AGGCCGGAGCAGGGAAGGAAGAGCGTGGCCCGCGCCGGAGAGCCGCACCGCGCCGGGACCGAGGCCACCGAACCGCCGCAGCGCCGCCGCCGCCTCAGCTTGCAAGATGGCTGTTCGCGGGGCGGGGGAGACTCATCCCCGCTTCCGATTCCGGTGCACCGCGCTCTGGGGCGGCCGCTCTAGCCGGCCGGGCGGTCGTCGCCTGCGTCTCGCTGCCACCTCCCACCCCTCTCGGCCCGGACCGCCCGCGCGTGCGCACTGGCGGGCAGCTCCGTGGGGCGGGGCCCAAGGGCGGTCGGTCGGCGCGTGCGCCCTGGCGGTCAGGGCCGTAGCGGGTGTGGGGCGGTGTTGGACCCCTGGTCTCTCAGGTGATCTGGTCAGGCGGTCAGGGCGCCGCGAAGCATCCTTCCGCCGTAATGCTGTCCGGCGGGCGGCCCCAGGGCTTGTCAGCGGCCGATGCGGTCCGTCCCAGAGCGGGGCGCGCCATCCCGGGGAAGACAGACAAGCCCAGGCCCAGGGTGACCCCCGAGGTGCCGGCGTGAACTCTGCTTTGAGTTCACTGGGACCCCGACTGTCCCACCGGCTACCTTCCAAAGGATGGGGCCAATCCGGTCTGGGGGGCCCAGTCCTGGGCCATGTAAAGGAGAGCACCCGAGGCACTAGGGTCCCCCGGCCCCATCAGTGACTGAACCCCGCTCGGGCCCCTGAGGGTCACGTCCTGATTGGCCTTGTCTGGCCACCAGTGAGGCGCGGGGACGGGGAGCCCTGCGAGAACCTGTGCCAGGTGGGGTCTGCCCTGGACAAGCCTGTCCGGCCCCTGCCCGTGGGGGAGAGCCCGCCTCATAAAAATAGTTCCACTGTTTCCCCAACTGAATTTTCCACCCAGCCCATGAATAGGGTCATTATGCAACAGTGGACGCTGCACTGAGGCTTGCTTTCTGCTCCCACGGTCCCCTCCCTGGCCTAGGGGAGGGGGAGGCAGAGCTGGCCACCTGGCCATGGGAGTATGCCTGAAGCAGGCAGGTGGGGATACTGTTCCAAGGGCCAGTGTCCGTGGAAAGGACCCTGACTGCGGAGGCCTGGAGCTGGTCCCCTCCACCTCCTCAAGTCTGCCATGAGGGAAGGCTTGGAGGGACATGAGGATGACACACAGGAGATTGTAAAGTTGGTGTCTGAATGCGGGGTGGGCGAGGCGGCTGAGCAAGCCAGCATACTGCGAACAGCCCTCCCTGGAGAGAAAATCCAGGACAGGGCCAAGTGGGGTCCTGGAGTGTCCCCTCGTAGGTTATGTCAGGGGGAATGCTGCATATCAACTATGAGGCAGGTGGTGGTCATCAGTCCAGACAGATCTGGAGAGGCCATTGCTGTGTTGGACTGTCTGGCCCTGTGGGACAGAGCTAGGGTTCCAGACCCTTCACCATTACCCCTGACTGCCTCTCGGCTTGGGCCACAGGTCAGCGAGGTGACTGATCACACAACCATTGACAGTGGACACCGAGCACCGACAGGTCCAGCCGTGGCCACTGGCAGAAGACAGGCACCATGCTTACCCTTGAGTCTGGCCCACCCAGGGCATCTCAGGCAGGATCTGAGCAGCCCCAGGCCCTGGGCAGAACCCAGAAGGCGTGCTCATCGTCCATCCGCAGCCAGGTAAGTCAACCCGCGGGAATCCAGCCTGCTTCTGCCTCCTACCACATCACCCATCCCTGGCCTGCCTTCCTTCTGGGGGCTGTTAGTTTCCAGAGTTCAGCCGCCTGCTGCCACACTCAGCATGGTGCCTTCACTCCTCCACCTCCCCCAGGGGCTCCGCCATCCCCCCACGGTGCGGGCCTGGCTGTTTTTAGCACATGGAAAGTTATGTAAGGGAGGCCACTCCAGGGCACCTGGGGTTCAAGCCCAGGTGCGTCTGACACAAACCCACACACACCTGCAGAGCCCAGGCAGTGACAGTGTGGGGCTGGGGCCTCAGGCAGGTAGAGGCCCTCTCCTGCCTCAGTTTGTTCCTGTGTAAAATGGGGGTGCCGACTCATGTGGGAGCGTCTTGATGGGAAGACTCAGCTCAGAACCCCTCAGCATCAGCCCCCAACCTCCTGATCACCAAGCACCCCTCAGTCACACCTAAGGGAGAAGAAGGTGCCCAAGACAGATGTGGCCGGCAGGTGCTGCCAAGACCCTCACCCTACCAGCCCCACATAGGCTGCCTTCCAGGTCAGCAAGGCCCAAGCTGCCCAGCCCTCTGGCCATAGAGCTGATGGCCTCAGCAGTCGAGACAGGAGTGGGCAGCTAGGCTGGCGGCAAATGACAACTGAGACCTTCTCCAACCCCAAAGCCACCCTTTTGGAGCAGAAGCTGGAGCTAGCGCTTTCTGCCAGACTTCCTTCCCACCCCTCCCACCGCTGCCAATGGCCAGGCTGCAGGAAGAGGGTGGCTGTCTTCTCTCTTGAGCATCTTGGGTGGGGGGGCCCACGGCTCTGTGTCGGAAGAGCTATCAGGAAACCAAGAGTGTTAGAATCAAGAAAACATCCCCCTTACCAGTTGCTGCTACCCCCTCCCCAGGGCGGGACTTGAAGGCCTCAGTCACATCTGACTGGGAGGGACCGCCTGGCCAGGGCTCAAGAGAGGGTCCCAAAGAGCCAGCCTGGAGGTGACCAGGCAGGAAGTGTGCACACACCCCAGCCCTTCCAGTGGGAGACACCTGGCCAGACCCCGAGCCCCACCGACCCCCAGCTGGCTGGAGGCATCTCAGGGAGTCCCCTCTGTGCTCACTGGAGCTGCTGCTTAACCCTGTGGTCAGTGTTTGGAGCGGGGGAGAGGTTCCACATTTGCACCAAGAAGGCCCCTCACCCTCCTAGAAGCAGGTGGGCCAGCCTCCAGGCCCAGGGAGGACGACCCCCACCTGCCCACACCCACCAGGAATCCGGTACATACGCAGAGCCCACGGGCTCAGACTTCACTTCTGTCATACCAGAGTCCCCTAGGACCATCTCTAAGCTGCCCCTGAGGAGGGGGGGGCCACCCACAGGTGAATAAGCTGAGCCTGGGGGCCCCATGAAACACCAGGCACCAACAGTCTCCAGGACAGCCCCAGCCTGGAAGGGGATGCCTTGGCACCCCTAGGCCCAGCCTCATGAAGGCTCCCACTCAAAGTCCCAAAGAGAGGTTGTACTCAGGAGATTGGGGCCAGCCATCCTACTGTCCTTCTGGGGAGAGGGTGGAAGACGTGGGACCACCCACCTGTCCCTTCTCTGAGGCGTTGTCACATCCCTTCACTACAGCTGTTGAGTGACCACGTGGGCCTACACTGTGCCAGGAGCTGGGGTCACCCTGTCCTGCCCTAGCCTGCTCTTCCCAGGGCCAGTGAGGCCTGGGGAGGCAGGAGAAGGGATGCACCAGGAAGGGAGGAGGGGGCTGCCAACCTCAGTGCCGCTGGATGCAGTCTCTCTGCCCTGCTGAGGCAGCCAGAGACCTCTCTGCCCTCCCAGAGGTGGGCTCTGGGGTGACCTCCTCCCCTCCCCACTGGTCGCTGATCCCTGGCCCAGGCGCCTTATGCTGGCCCCTTGGCAGTTCTCAAGCTGTTTCCCCAGGAGGAGGGAAGGGAGGTTTGTGCCTTCCGCCTGGATGATCTGTGACTCGAGCCCCTCATCATCACAGGCATGCCTCTGCCCCTGGCCAGGGCTCCCTCTCCCACAGGAAGGTGGGGGCTCCTGTTCCCTGTGAGCCGCCCTTGGCCGGAGGGGACTCTGGCCAGACCCGAGCTCCCCAAGCCCGGGGTCTCCAGGCCCCTCCTTCCTGGCAGCTCCCTTCTTCAACCTCCTGAGCTGGGAGCCACAGGTCACTCCTGTTCTCATTACCCAGAGCACCCGGGACCCTCCTCTGCTGCTCACAGGCCTCCCCCAGGACAGTGTGCCGCCCTATCCCACAGAGGAAAATTGCTCAGTGGCAGAGGCCTGAGACACCCCAGGCCTGTGCTGAGTCTGGAGGGTCTGATGCGGGGCTCAGGGAGGGGGTAGCCACACCAGTGATACCAGCTGGCCCCACCCCTGAGCCTTGAGCAGGAAGAGGAAAGTAAGGCCCATTTTGCACTTGAGCTAACGGACTCCGAGAGGCTGATTAATTTGGGCAAGGTCACACGATAAGTGACAGAGCCACGATGCGCATCCACAGCCAGGTGAGCCCAGGGCCTGTTCTTCCCCAGGCGTATGACTTCCTCCTCCCAGACATCACCAGTGACCATCTGCCTCCTTCCAAAGCCACAGGCTGATGACCTCACCCCTCCTCAGAGCCAAGGCCCCACCAGCAGGGCCTATTGGAAGTGAGGCTCCCTCCCTCATCCCAGTCCAGGCCCTCTGCACTGATTTGGGGTGGGGTGTCAGAAACTAGAGCTTGCCCCGGGGGGGTGGGGGGCAGTAGGGCCTGCGCCACACCCTCAAACCTGGGACCAGGCTGAGGGTTTGCTTATTAGGGAGGGTGAGACCGCCGGGTCATCCTGGGGACATGCTGGATCCCCCACTGGGGCCAGAGGTGGTGGGTCATCCTGGGACGGGGGTGAACTGGGTGTCCTGCCTTCAGCCACACTGAGGCCAAGGACTTCAACCCCCAAGACGGTGTGATCCGGACCCTGAGTGTGCTGTGTGTTCTTAGCACGTATATGGCCAAGACGTGGGTGTGTCATCTTTGCGGGCGGGGTGTTGTCTTAGTAAGTGGTGTGGTCAGCAGTGGCCTTCTCGTCTGCTGGGAAGAGTGAACTGTGGGCCACATGGCACCAGGTGTCCTCTCCACACCCAGGCCGAGTTGTTCCCACGGTCCGAGCCTGTCCCAGTGGCTGGCCCTACACACCTGGGTTCTGGGACCAGAGGCCCCTGCCCGGCGTCCCTCGGTCACAAACACCTGTGGTCAGCACTGACAGCGTGAGCCGGGCAGGCATCCCTCGCCGCCTGTCGGAAGGAGAGAAGGCAGAGAGGTGAGTGGCCAGGGCACACTGCTGGGAGCAGGCAGAGCTGGTGTCGGACCCAAGAGAGGTCTGAGCTTCGGGAGGTGGGGGAGCAGAGGGTCTGCCCGGCGAGAAGCCGCTGAGCCGTGCAAGGGGGTCTCAGCCAACACAGGCCTCTCCTCTCCCTCTAGGAACCAGGAACCGCTCATCCCCAGGGCTCTGGGCAAGAAAATCTCACCCAGGGGCAGGACCCCCATCCCTGTCCTCATGGCTTCCCCTTCCGGGTCCAGAGTGGGTGTGTCTGCCCCTGCCAGCCGGGCCCTGCCCTGCCCTGCCTCAATCCACGCCCAGCCAGCCTGTTATAAACAGGAGGCTGCCTGGCCATGTCGTCCACATCCCACTTTGTCTTGTCACCTGCTGGAGCTGCCATCACTGAGGCAGCTGCCTCACCACGGGAGAATGGAGGCACCTGCAGAAGGAGGCTCCAGCTTCCAGGTACCAGAGGGCACCTGATGTGGGCTTCCTTTCCCATGCTGGGGGCAAGGAGGGAAGGTCATGTCTCTCTCAGGGTCTCTTGGGCTCTCTCGAACCCGAAGTGCAGGGAGTTCTGTCCCACACGTCACCTTGAGCACAAAGGGCGAGAGAAGAGGGTCACGCGGTCCCCACTGACTGAGGGCTTGGTGTGTGTGACAGGAGTACACCCCTGCTCCTGCTGTGTCTGAACCGAGGCACCTCGGATCCCTCGGGGCGTCTGGGGCCCTCTCTCCCAGGTGTCTGGACCCTGCCCTTCCCTCAGGAGGCCCTGGAGGCTCTCAGTGGTCCTCAAGATCCCCATCTGCAGGGCGTCCCCTTTTCCTACCCTGGTAGCCCCAGCCAGGGCAGGAGGGGGCTGGTCTGGGCTACACGTCTGGAGGAGGGTAAACATGGTTACTGGAGTCAGAAAGAACCTTCTGGAACCCCTTTTGCCTAACCTATAACACACAGCCGAGGCCTGTCTCACCTTGGAGGCCCAGTGTGATCCTGGTGGACACACATGTGGGCAGAGCTCTGCGCAGTGTGAGACCCAACGTGGGCACCCCCTGCCAGTACCTGCTCCTGGCCAGGCAAGTGGGAGGCCCGCAGACCTGAAGCCGGGCAGGAAGGCCAACCCACCCTCGCCTTGTACCTGTGGTCCCACGCCACCGGCTGCCTGCTCCCACACAGTTTCCCAGAGCACGTGGGAGCCGGCTGCTCAGGTGTACCAGGCTGGGCGTGGGCTGGCTGAGATGCAGTGGGGGCTCAGAGGCACCCCCGGCTCAGCCCCCTCCCCAGGTTCCTCAGGAGGGGGCCAGAGCTCAGGAGGCCCCACCCTGGGTGCAGGAAGGCCCAGTGATTCAGACCAAGAGGCAGACGGTGTGGGAAGTCCCCCGGAAGCCAGTGTGGTGACTCCACACGTATTCGGGAGAGCAGGCGTGGCCTAGTCAGGGTCCCACGTCCCTGTGTGCTGGAGGGACTGGGGGTCTGGGGGCCCTGGGTCTGTGGCTCTACTTCTCTAGGGCCCTCAGGTCCCCACCACTGGCTAGCCCACGGGCCCCCTGCCCACTTTTCCTAAAGCCCAAGGTCCACAAACAGGGCTTCCCTGGGGACAACCTCGGTAGATGATGCCTCACCGGGCGCCCAGAGCACTGAACAGTCCTCAGGCCCGACCCTTGGCCCAGACGTGGCCGGAGCAGCCTGGTTCCGTCAGTCCCAATCAAACGTGGCCATGGTGGCCACTAAGGGTTGGTAGAGACCATTGAGGCCCAGAGTCTAGTCTTTGTGGGGCCCCTAGACCTTCAACATTGGCTCGAGGCCCAAGGACACAATACAGTCCCTACCCCAAGCAGGTCACCCACCTGGCCTGCCCTTCCCTAGAGTCCCCTGCCCCACTTGAGTGGACAGTAAGCCTGTGTCCAAACAGTACCGCGCAAGGCTTGGACACCGTATTTCCTGCTGTCCCTGTCCCCACCGGCAGACCCAGCTCTGGCTGCAATAAGACTCACGTGCGGAGGCTGCCCAGTGCCCGGGCCAGTGTGGTGTGGGGTGGCTGCAGGGCCGGTCCCAAGCCCCCGATAGGGCCTCTTTTGAACATCAGCGGGCTGGGCGGTGCCATTGGTGGCCGGGGGACACGACCGTCCCTGGAGTTCCCAGGGACAGAGAATGGCAGTCCTACCAGCCCGAGGTGAGGAGGCCTGAGTGGGAGTCAGGCCGGGCAGCAGGTAGGGGCCACACGGGGGCTTGCTCCTTGGCCGCAGGTGGGAGCCACGGCCCATGCAGCCGGTGGTTGCCCGACGTTCCGTGAGGCCCAGCGGCCCCCGCCACCACTGCTGGAGGGCAGGCCCAGAGAGAGGCTGGTGGAGCTGCACACCTCCTTCAGGGAGCTGTTCACCTTCTTCTGCGCCAACGCCACCACCCACGGGGCCATCCGCCTCGTCTGCTCCAGCCAGAACGGCCTCAAGACTGCGTCCTGGGGGCTGCTGCTGGTGGGCGCCCTGGGGGTGTTCTGCTGGCAGTTCGGGCTCCTCTTAGCACAATACTGACGTCACCCGGTCATCATGACCGTGTCCGTGCACTCGGAGCTGAGGCTCTTCCCAGCCGTCACTCTGTGCGACATGAACCCACACAGGTGAGTGGTGCTGCCTCCCCACCTGGGCAGCCTGGGGGCACCTCCCGGGTGTGGTCGCAGTGGAGGGCCACCGGCTCGTTGATGACCCCACCCCACTGCACCCCTGCGCCCAGTCGGGAGCTCTGAGACCTCTGCTCTGGACGGTGGTGGTGGGGAGGGTGTTCAGGGACCAAGAAGAGCCAGCTGGAGCTTGGCGTGGTCAGCGCCCCCCAGACAACAGCTGCTGGGCAGCCTGGGAAGGGTGAGGGGAGGTGGGAGGGAGCTTTCCAGAAGGGCAGCCTGCAGCTAGGCTTCAGGTGGGGGGCGGGGGGGCAGGAGAAGGGAGCAGGGCAGCGTTCCGGGTGGGGAGGCAACAGGAGCAAAGACAGAGGGAGCTGTGGCCGAGCCAGGAGGCTGGTGGAGTCCACACGGGGGGCGGGGGGCTTCTGGGCCTGACCGGCTGATTCTGGGGTCAGCACCGCGGGGATAGGCACTACCCTCCCCAGCAATACCTGGGGACTGATGTGGGGGCTCTGACTGAACCCACCCCTCTCCCTCGCCCTGCCACCCTCCAGGCCATGCTCAGCCCGCTACCACCTGCAGGTACTCGATGAGTTTGCCCAGGAGAATATCCACTCTCTCTACAAATTCAACTTCAGCGAGAACAGGCACGTCCTCTTTGCTGACGCCCGGCTCCCACAGCCTGCCTTCTACCTGGACCGCGGGATCCGCCTACAGAGGCTGAGCCAACCAGGCGGCCAGAACAAAGTGGGTTTCCGCCTGGTGAGTGTCCCTAGCCCTGCGAGGTCCCGGCACGCTGTCACCCGGCAGGGCTGTGAGTTGGGCGTGGACGGACGAGGAGGCCATGCTGAGCTGGCCCCGCTCCCCTCAGTGTAACAGCACCGGGGGAGACTGCTTCTACCGGGCCTTCTCGTCAGCCGTGACAGCCATCTGGCAGTGGTACCCCGCTTGCACTACCTGAACATCTTGGCCCTGACGCCCCCCGCCCGCGAGGACGGAGGCCGCTTTGTCTTCTCCTGCCGATTCGACGGCCAGGACTGCCAGGCCCGGTGAGTGGGCGCGGGGCAGCGGGCTGCTTCCCCACTGCGGGCGTGGGTGCCAACCTGGGGTCCGGCTGGCTGCACACGGCTTCGCCCAGAGGCAAGGCAGGCCGCAGTCCCTCAGGCCTCACGCGATGGGGTCATGGGCTGCTGCGAGTGTGGCCCCTGGTTCCAGGCACTTCCGAATGTTCCACCACCCCACCTACGGTAGCTGCTACAGCTTCAGTGGCGTCTCAGCTGCACGGCACCCGGGCATCACCCATGGTGAGTGCCAGCCCCAGGCTGAGTGGGGCAGGGGGCATCCAGGCCAGCCGGGCCTCACCCCCTTCCTCTCCCAGGGATCAGCCTGGTCCTCAGGGCTGGGCGGCAGGACCACCTCCCTCTGCTGTCCACGGAGGCTGGCATCAAGGTCATGATTCGTGGGCATGACCACCCGCCCTTCCTGGAGCACCAGGGCTTCAGCGTCCGGCCGGGCACCGAGACCACAGTCGGCATCCGAGAGGTGGGCGGGCCCCTGGGAGCCAGGGCAGAGGAAGGGCCCCAGGCCTCCCCCTCCCGACATCCCTACCCAACTCCGGGGCCTCCGGGGCTGGGACGGTGGGACTGAAGCACGCCCCCTCCCCTCAGGACGAGGTGCACCGGCTGGGGGGCCCCTATGGCCGCTGCACCAAGGGTGTGGAGGGCGTGGACGTGCAGCTGCTCTACAAGGCCTCGTATGCCCTGCAGGTGAGTGTGGGGCCGTCGGGGGACAAAGGGAGCGTCTCAGGAGGGACCAGGGAGGCCAGGAGAGAGGTGGTCAGGGGAGGGGGATCTGGAGTCTGGGGGGCCCTTGGGAGAGGGAGGCCAGGGGAGGTTTGGGGCAGGGCCCAGGGGAGGTGGAGGCCAGCGGAGATGGAGCTGGGGAGTTGGGGGGCAGGAATGCCCAGGGGAAGGGGTGGCCGAGGGGGAGGGGAGTGGGGGAGGGTGTAGGGAGGGCAGGTGCAGTGCTGAGAGGGAGGTGAACCAGGCCCTCCTGCGGGCCCTGGGGGAGGGATGTCCGGCCCCAGGACCTTCAGCTCATGTCCCCCCCCCGTCCCCCCAGGCCTGCCTCGTGTCCTGCTTTCAGCAGCTAATGGTGGAGACCTGCTCCCGCGGCTACTACTTCTACCCCCTGCCGTCAGGGGCCGAGTACTGCAGCTACGCCAGGCACCCGGCCTGGGGTGAGACCCCCCGGCCACTGGGGTGGAGTGCGGCCAGGCACTGTCGACCTGCAACCTCTCCTCCACCCCACATCGGCCTAGTGGGTTCATCTGTGACACACAACCCCCCCCCGGTCACTGCTTCTACCGCCTCTACAAGGACCTGGGCACCCCCCGGCTTCCCTGTACCTCACGCTGCCCCAGGCCCTGCAGGTGAGTGGCAAGTGTGGGGGCTCGGGGTCAGGGGTTACTGCCACAGCACCCCAGCAGGAGTGTAAGGGGGTCTGTCTCTCCCAGGGAGTCTCTACAAGCTCTCTGCCAGGACCTCCAGATGGCCTTCCTCCAAGTCAGCCGTGAGTGCCCCGAAGGGGTGGGTAAGGGGCAGGCAAGCAGGTGGGTCTCACAGGCCCCAAAGGCTCACCCTGGACCAGCTGTGCCCCGTGGTCCCTGCTCTTAACACTGGCCGCACAGCGCCCTGAGGGCTGCGAGAAGCTGCAGCCCCAGCGAGCCTTTTCTGTGCACAGGACTGGATCCTGGCCGTGCTGGGCAAGCGACGCCACAGGAGCCTGAGCCAGAGCCCAGGCCTCAGGTGGGTGCACACCCCCTCCAGAGGCCCCTCCCTCTGCCAACCTTGTCCTCAGTACCCCAAAGAGGGGCCCTGCCGTGTGGGCCCAGGGCCCAGCCCCTCACACCTCCGCCTTGCCCCAGGAGCAACGTGGCCAAGGTGAACATCTTCTACCAGGAGCTCAACTACCGTACGGTGGACGAGACGCCCGTTTACTCGGTGAGCCAGCTGGGAGCCAGGGGCTGTGGTGGGGGCAGGACCGGCGGCTGGCCAGCCTGGGGCGCAGCCCCGTGCACCTGCTCACCGCCCACTGGGGCCTGCAGGTGCCCCAGCTGCTTTCAGCCACGGGCAGCCTCTGGAGCCTGTGGTTCGGCTCATCGGTCCTCTCTGTCCTGGAGCTGCTGGAGCTGCTGCTCGACGCCATAGCCCTCACGCTCCTACGGGGCTGCCGCTGGCTCCGCAGAGCTCGGGGGTCCCAGCCAGGGGCAGCCACGGTGCCATCCCACGCCACGCCAGAAGCCAACCAGTTGCCCACTGACCACAGGGATGACATTAAGCATCTGGGGGGCCCTGCTGGCCTCATCTCCCACGACGCTCCCCGGAGCTCTGGCAGGAGTCTTTGCTGAAGAGTTAGGCCAAGTGAGGGGCCCAGCCTCCCCACACCTGAGCCAGCCGGACTTGTTCTGATCCTGAGGGACATGGCAGCGGTGGGCTCTCCTGGCTGCCCAGGGTGAACCGGACCAGCCCCACAGAGCCACCCCAGCTAGCCAAGCCAAGCCCAGGGCCCAGGAAGCAGCACTGGGGTCTGCAGGCAGGCACCAGGGTGCCCGGCCACCTGCCCAGTGGCGGCCTCACTCAGGCACCAGGGCAGGGGGAGGGGAGCGAGTGTCCCTACCACTCTGGATTCCCGAGTCTAGTCTGCTGCGTAGCTGTGTGTGCGCGTGCGAGGCGGGGGGGGGGGCCTCCACATGGGAGTGTGTCTGTTTGGTCGGTGTCGTGTAAACGCATGTACGTTTCTAAGTGTGTCAACATACCTGTGTATACCCATGTGCAGGTGTGTGCAGGCATCTGGTGGAGCCTTCCTCAGCTCGGGGCAGCTGGGAAGAAGGGTCGGGCCAGGCCAAGGCACTTGGTGACCTTGGGCTGCTTTGTAATAAAACTAGCGATTCCACCTGGTGGCTACGGTGTGTGTTCCTCCCCAGTTACCCTTCCCGCGTAAGCGGAAAGCCCCAGGCTGAACCTCCACACTCCTTGGAGCCACAAACACACTGTGGGGGCTGGGGGGGCTGGGGGACAGGAGGACACGGTGCCCACGGCCAGCTTGCAGGGTCAGGGCTTGCCCAGGAGACGGGACCAGCCCCAGACCACCCTCCCTGGTTAGCATCCACCTCTACTACTCCCTCCAAGGGGCACACTCCAGGCCACAGAAAGGCAGAGGGGCGAGGGAGTCAGTTTCCATCAGAGAAGCACCCCCAGCCCAGCACGCAGGGGCTGGGTTCTGGCTTACTGCATCCTTTTGGGGCACTGGGGCTACCCTACTCAGGGCCACCCCTCAGGGAAGGCAAAGGACCCAGACACCCCCTCCCCAGCTGCGAGAGTGGAGTAAGGCGGGTGAGCCAACGACAGGCAGGAGTGCAAGCAGCAGTTTATTAACCGTGGTCTGGGGCAGGGGGCGGGTCCTGCCAGCCCAAGGCCCTGATGCAGGTAGTGGGGTGGGAGGCAGGGGCAGAGCTCAAGCAGGGAGAAAGGAGGGAGTTAATTCTGCTCTTTAGGGGTCACAGCCGACAGGCAAGGGAGTTGGGGGGGGCCTCAGTCAGCACCCACCTTGCCGCCCATGGAGCCTCCCTGGACAGCTTTTGCATAGTGACCAGCCAACTGGCCTTGGCCAGACCAAGGACGTAAGTTGGGGAGAGGCCCAGCCACTGCCCCAGGGCTCCAGGAAAGGGGACTGCAGAATGAACGCCTTGGTGGGCCCTGGGGAGTGAGCTGAGGGACGTGTGGACCCGCCCAAGGGCCCAGCGGAGAGGTGAGGCCGGCGACGGGCAGGCACACCTGCAGGAGCCTCCCCGGCAGCAGGCAGAGCCAGGGGCGTCAAGGTGGTCCTCGAGAGTCCACGGAGAAGAGACGCAGACAAAGTGAGAAAGAGGTCGTAGAAAATCTGCTCAGTCTGTGACCAAGAATGTCGGATGCAGGGGTGGAAAGTGCCAAAGTCCTTTATGCACCGGCTCGGGGCCAAGTGCCTCTGGAGGAGGCAGGGACAGGTCTCTGGCCGCCCAGCACTGGGGCCTGCGTGGCCAGCCACATGGCCTTGGGACGCCTGCGTCCAGCCAGGGCTGAGGCCCCAGGCCACAGCCCGCCCCCCAGCACCCGAGAAGCCCAGCCTGGATGCCGGTCACTAAGTGAGGTACACGGGTTGATTCCCTGGATGGGCTGCCCTTCTGCCCTCAAAAGGCGCTGGTGGCCAGCCACCAGCCCCAGGGCCTAGCAGAGGGGCTCTGGGGGTGTGTAGGAGGGACCCAACTAGCAGGTCAGTGTTCTACGGCAGTAAAGGTGGGGGCACGAGGTGACACAAGCCCTGAAGGCAGAGAGGACAGAAGTGACACAGGTCCTAGGATGGACGGAGGGGCACAAGGTGACACTGGGCCTTCAGAGTGGTTTGTGACATGAGCAACCCAGGCGCCCAAGAAAGGGGTCACCTGAAGACACGGGGTCCCCAGGTGTGGTGAGGGGCACCAGACGACGCAGCACCTCCCAGGGGGAAACGTGGGGCTTCTTAAGACTCAGTGCTGGGGTCTCTCCCAGCCCGAGGGGCCGGGGCAGCTCCGAGGAGGGCAGAGCAGGCAGCCAGGGCTCCAGGGCCACACAGGCTTGGGGCTCTCAAGAAATGGGCCCGTGGCCACCACAGGCAGGGCAGGCGGGCGGGGGGACAGGGCGGTCCAGACCCGGTCCGCCCCGCCCTAGCTCTCCTCCAGGTGGAGGCTGATGAACTCCTGGATGCACCTGCGGTACTGGAGCTCCGTGGGGCTGCTACCCGCCAGGGGGCCTGGCTGGCCCGGGGGCGCCTCGGCCTCTCGCATCTCCTCAGCCATGCGCGCCAGACGGAGCCTGGGGGAGGTGCGGTTTGAGGCCGAGCCGGAGCCCCTCCCGCCCCCTTCCCCCGCACCGCCGCGCGCAGCCCCCGAGCCCCACCCCCAGGGCCCCGCCCACGCTCACAGCGTGACTATGTCTGCGTTTGCCTCCTGGATCGCGATGCTCAGCGGGTCCTGCTGCTCGTGGTCCAAGGCATGCTGGTCAGCTCCCCGCTTCAAGAACAGGCAGACCTGACTGAAGGGTGGAGGGGACAAGTCGGGGCCGGCCCGAGGCGGGTGAGGCGAGCCCCCGCCCCCCACCCCAGGGCAGGAGGGGCGCCGGAGACTCACCCCGTGCGCCCCAGGAGTGTGGCGTGGTGCAAGGGCGCCCGGCCCCGGCTGTCTCTTTGGTTCACGTCTGCTCCGTTTTGCAGAAGGAATTCACAGACAATCAAGGAGCCCTGGGGAACCGAGGACAGTTCAGACTCACCTGGGAAATGGCCCCTCGCTGGTCTCCAGGAGGGTACAAGGGGTCCTCGCATTCGTGCCATAAGAAAGAGCCCTGAAGATGCATCTGTCCCGCGCAGCCCCCGCCCCCCGCGCCTGCTCACCCCTAGCACAGCCTGCACCAATGGCGTCTTGCCCTCGTCCTCCGTGTCCGCCCAGTTGACCTCCGCCCCGTGCGCCAGTGCCGTGGCCAGCGCAGGGAGGTCTCGGGTGCGCGCCGCACGGTGCGCCAGGAGCCCGGGGTGCAGCTCACGCACGTCTGCCAGGCCCCAGGCCTCAGCCTCTCCGTCCGCCTCACCGCTGGAGTCCTCAGACTCTGCACCCTCTACGGGGAGGGGAGGGGTACGGTCAGGGGCTGCGACATGGCCTGGATTGGGGTTGGGGGAGGGCGGGGGCTGGGCGGCAGCGGAGGCAGGGAGGCGCGCACCCACCCTCCTCGGTGACGCTGTCCACCACGGAGCCTGCACCGAAGGCCAGAACGTCCGAGCTGCCGTCAGAGCTGCCCCCTAAGCCACTGTCGCTGCTCAGACCTGCGGGGTCCGGGGACAGATGGAGACCCTTAGAGTCCCTGACTCCTCCCAGAGCTCTGCTGGAAGGCTAGAACTCCCATCCATCCTCCAGGGAATGCCCCAGGAACAGAATCAGCCCTCACTAGGGGAGGGGAGCCCTGCCTAGGATGGGGCAAAAGGGGAGAAAACAGCTCAAAGGAGCCAAAGTAATGCACCCAAGAGCCCAGCCCCCGGGGAAGCCCACCCTGTGGCAGGTCGGCCCTAGCAGGATGGATGGGCTGAAACAGAGCCATGCGCAGTCAGTGGGCATTCCGCTCTGTTTGTGGCGAGTGCATGCTGCAAGTTCACTGGGGACACCCCCAACCCCACCCCTCCCCCAAAACACTGAGCGGAATCTCAGATGGCTTACCCAAGGGCAGCCCCAGCCTCAGGAATGGTGAGGCAGCGCCCTCTGCTGCCGGAGGGCACCCCCTGGTCACCGCCCCCAGCCCTGTCAGTTCTTGGCCTGGGTCCATGCCTTCGGCCTACACTGCCCAGGGAGGTTCTACAGGTGCCCCAGACCACTGGGTGCCGATAAATCATTAACAGGAAGCCCTTGGTGGGAAACCCTGCTTGTCGCATTTGGCTCCCAACTCCAAGAGGAGCTGGGAGAGATGCACAATTGTCTCTCACAGGCTGGCTCCAGCACACAACTGTCCAGGCCCCCAGCATGCACGCGCACACATACACATGGGGCCCTCAGCACACACGAGCACATGCACACACACCTACGTACATGCCTGTATGCACATTCAGCCACGTATCCATATACACCCACGTGCACTCACATACACATACTTACTCTGGTGGGCATACCACACACGCAATTCGCACACATCACTCTTGAGGTTCATGGCCTCAGCCTCCAACTCAGTGGCCAAGTAACCCCAGACCCTCGAGATGCTATCTCAGCCTTAGCCCTGCTTGACCCCCAAACTCTCTCCAGCCCCGACCCAGTACTTCCTGCAAGGAACACCGGTCCCTCCATTCTGAGGAACTGAGCCAAGGGAAGAGGGCAGCGGGTGACTAGGGACCTCACAGCACTTACTACGTGGACCAGCTGCAGCAGCCCCTGCGTCGAAGTAGGAGAAGAGGGAGTCCAGCTCATCTGGGCAGAAGAGAGAGTCCCTCCGGAACTTGCGTTCCACAGCACCTGCTGCGGGAGGTGGGGAAACTGAGGCCCAAGGCAAAGTAGGGTGCCCAAGTCCTGCTGGGAGTCCCTGCCTCCCTCCTGCCCTGCCCCACCCTGATCTTCCTGGGGCCTGGGGTTTGGTGGCTCATGCACCTGCAGGAGCCCACTTCCCCACCCTGCACGGGTGTGTGAGCAGAGGGTACGGCCTGCGGGTACCTGAGGACAGAGCAGCCACGGAGGGCAGGACAGGCTCCAGGCGGACCTTGCGGCGCGCAGCGGGGGCTCGGGGGGAGCTGTGGTGGCGCTGGCACTTCTGTGCCCGCCAGTGCCGAGGGGCCTCCCGGGCTGGTGCGGAGGGCGGCTTCCGCAGGAACTTCTTTTCCACATACTTGTCCTTGATCCAGGCCTCCTTGTCCTGCCTGGACCAGGGGTGGACGTGAGGCTGCACTCATGTGCGGGGGCTCCCCTGGCCCCATCTAGGCCGCCCCCCCCACCTCACCTGGGGCTGCTGGCTGTGGGCTTCCTGCTGCCCGGCCCCTCGCACTGAGCCTCGTAGATCTGGTTCACGGTGCTGTTTCCCAGCTCACACATCAGCTAGCAGGAGACAGGGGTGCGGGCATCAGCCCCAGCTTACAGTAGGCCAGCCGCCCCCCGGGGCTCGCAGACCTGGCCGCAGTGGCCTGGCAGCCTGTGATGGCCTCATACACACCTTCAGCAGCTCTGGCTCCCACGAGTCCAGAGTCAGGGACCGCACCTTGGAGCAGTGGACACCCAGGCTCCTGGACAGGGAGGAGGCAGGGTGAGTCAGGGCACGGCTGTACCCCAGCCCCCCGCCCCCCGGCGGGCCCACCTGTGGACGCCTGAGCACTCAATGCACAGCAGCACACCCAGGTTGATGCTGGCCCAGCGGGGGTCC